CGCACGCCCCCAGCCAGGGACCTGGCCCACAACCCAGGCATGTGCCCTGACCGGGAGTAGAACCGGTGATTTTTGATTTGCGGGCCAGCACTCAATCCACTGAGGCGCACCAGCCAGGGCTTGAAAGATTCTGCTGGAGGTTTTCCAGGCCTCGAAGGAGAGCTGGGCTTCCAGACAAAGGGAACAACCCATAAAAGAGAAAATTAGGTGTATTCTGAAAGGAAAACTGGGAGCCCAGGGTGGGAGGGGGAGCACATGAGTTAAGAACCTAGAGGGGCAACTGGGCCATTTGGGAAGGGTCAGAGAGCTGACCCTGCAGGCGATGGGGTGTGAAGGAGGGGACAGGCAGGAAGGAGCAGGGTCAGAGTCAAGTGTTAGAAAAACACCTGTGAAATTAAAGGTCACGCAGAAACTGTCAACCGCGCAGAGGGTGGGGGTGGTGGAGAGCATGCCAGAAGGAGGACATAGCAGTTGTCCATTAACTCATTTGTCTGCCAGGATTTTGGAGCGTAGTTTCAGTGCCAGAAGTAGCACTGAATGAGCTGCAGAGTGTGGCTTGCGAATCCAGCCTGCCAGGGTTCAAAGCCCAGCGCTGCCACTTCCCGGCTGTGGGACTGCAGGCAAGTCGCTTGGCTTCTCTTATTTGCCTCATCTGTAAAATGGGAGCAGTGATGGTAGTTACCTCACAGAGGTTTAGTGAGCATGAGACTAATTGTTATTTATAATATATAGTGTGCTCAGGCCCTGGCTGGTGTGGCTCAGTGGATTGAACACTGACCTGCAAACTAAAATGTCACAGGTTTGATTCCCAGTCAGGGCACATTCCTGGGTTGCAGGCCAGGTCCCCAGTGGGGGGCAATTGAAAGACCACCAGTCGATGTGTCTCTCATACACCGATGTTTCTTTCCCTCTTTCTGCCTCCCTTCCCATCTCTCTAAAATAAATAAGTAAATAAAATCACACACACATACACACGATGCACTCCTACTGTAAGAAATTACCACTGTCAGTAGCAGTAGTATTAATACTAGGAGTATTCGTAGTATTAATACTCGCTGCCCAGAGCTCTGACCATGGAGAAGGAGAGCAGACACGTGGGAGAGAGTTCGGAGTGTCTTAGTGACTAGAATGAACACAGACTCAGGGAAGGGAGGGGAGAGGGACAGAGACCCGGAGAGACAAGGAGACAGACTGTATTAGTTTTGTGCAGCTGCTGTAACAAATTACCACAAATTTCGTGGCTTAAACGACACACACGTAGTCTTTACACTTCTGGGCCTCAGAAGTTTAAAATGGATGTCACTGGGTGAAAATCCGAGTATCACCAGGGCTGTGTTCCTTCTGGAAGCTCTGGGGGAGGAATTCATTTCTTTGCCTTTTTCAGCTTCTAGACGCCGCCCACAGGCCTTGCCTCATGGCCTTGAAACACTTTGACCCTCTGTGGTCACATGTCCTTCTGTGTCCCTCTCTTGCCTCCCTCCTCTGCATATCCTCGAGATTACCATGGGCCCATCTGGATACCCCAGTGCCATCTGCCCAGCTCAAGGTCCTTAATTTAATCACATCTGCAAAGTCCCTTTTGCCGCAAAAGGTTCCATATTTACCGGCTCTGGGGATCGGGATGCAGATATGTTTGAGAAGCCATTATTCTGTCTACCACAGAGACCCACAGAGAGAACGTTTAAAAAGTGGAGGCTTTACTATGATTCAGGTATGCTGAGGCCACCGGGACAGGAGACAATTGCCATTGAAAGGATAGTTTGTGCCCTGGCCAGGTGGCTCAGTTGGTTGGAGTGTTGTCTCCTACATCAAAAGGTTGGGGGTTCCACTCCCTTTAACGGCACATACCTAGGTTACGGGTTCACTCCCTGGTTGGGGTGCATATGGGAAGCAACCGACTGGTATTTGTCTCTCACATTGATGTTTTTCTCTCTCCCCTTCCCGCCCTCTCCCTCTAAAGAAGCAACAAAAAAGTGTCCTTGGGCGAGGATAAAAAAATAATTTAGGAAAGATAGTTTGGACTCACAGTTGCCAAGAGGGGCGGGCACGCTACACAGGGTGACGCTGGGGGGCGCCAGCGTCGGTCAGGAGCAGGGGCGGGGGGCGGGGGTTGGGACGTGGGGCTTTCCTGCGGTTCCTGTGGGAAGGGGCAGGAAGCAGCCTTAGGCCTGGCCAGTTTTAATCATTTTAGCAGGCCCCGGGCAGCAGGGACTGTCCTGAGCTGTCTGGTGCCTGGCTCGGGGTGATAAGGACCGGTCAACATGGTGCAGGACTGTAGGGGCCCGATAGAGTAGGAGGTTGTGATGGGGGACTCAGGAGTTGGAAAATTTTAGTTTAAGATAATAGCTAATAAGCTTAGTAGTTAATGTGTGTGAAAGGCTGTTGTTTCAGGAATTACAGGTATGGCCCCCCCGACCTCGGACTCCAGGAGACCACAGGCGATTGACCTTTGTGCTCCCGAAGAGACCATGAACAATCAAGGTTGCATCCGAGCCACTGTGTTCCAAGACCCAGATAAAGAAAATCGCCCAGGACACAGGACACAGGACACAGGACACAGATAAAGAAAATGACCGGTGAGCGGAGGAGAGGATGTCAGGGACATTGCTGGACTGCAGCTTTTATCTGGTAACTTCTTTCCCGAATTCCACATCCCTTACCTACACTTTTCCCCTCAGATTGCAGACCCCTTACCTACACGTTTGACCCCTTATAAAAAGGCTGGTTTGGAAGGAAATGTAAGACAGTCAGTCTGTTAGGGTCCAAACCCGCCGTCTTCCCAGATTGCCCGCCACCTGAATAAAGTGCCCATGAAGATCCAATCCCTGTCTCTGCTCATTGGTTCCTCTAGGTGACAGGCAGCACCAATGCCGGCTCTTCCGGTTTCTGCAGCCTGAGCTCTACACGGGTACGTCTGCTTAGGAAAGGTACGCCTGCTAGCAGGTGAGTAGTTTACTAAGTCTAGCAAGTGGCTCACCCTGGGAGGAGCAGTCCCTCCTGTGTCTGCAAGGCCCCAGATGTCAACACATCAGAAACACATGGTAGCCCTGACAGCCCCATGGGTGTGGCTCAATGGGCGCGTGTTGTCCTGAAAAGCAAAAGGTCGCTGGTTCGATTCCTGGTCAGGACACACGCCTGGGTTGTGGGTTCGGACCCTGGTTGGGGTGTGTGTGAGAGGCAACCAATTGATGCTTCTCTCTCTCTCTCTCTCTCCCTCTCTTTCTCCCTCCCTTCCCCTCTCTCTAAAAATAAATAAATAAAATCTCTAAAAAATTTCAACAGAAAAAAAGAAACACTTGGTAAACATATAGGCCAGAGACCTGGAACAGCAGAGTCGGAATTCCAGGGAAACCCAAGGCTCTAAATCCTGGCTCCTTATTTCTGCCCCTTCCCTGAGGCTCCCGGTCCTCTCCCCATTAGCTCCAAGCCCCGTCTGTCGCCCCGTGAGCTGCAGCTCCCACGGGACAGGACATTCCAAAGAGAGAGGAATCATGTTAAGCCCTTTGCACACACAGATCAAAAGGAACTCATTTTCAGATTAAGCTGAAAGGGTCGGTATGATTCTGTTGATTTAAGACTAGAACTAAAGGTCAGGCAGGAGGTGGGGGTGGGCAGGAGTCGCTCCAGGGCAGAGGGGCTCCGTGCTTGCTTGCTATGTGGGCGCGGGTGCAGCAGTAAACGAGACACCGAGAACCAGCCTCCTCCTCCTTGTTCTTTTCAGAACTCGGTGTCTCCTGGGGGAGACAGGGTCACCAAAGGGCCAAAGAATTGCAAATTGTGGAAAGCACCCTGGGGGCCTGGAAGCGGTCTCCTTAGACATGGGGGTCAGGGGCAGGTCCCTCAAAATCTGATCTCAAACTTCTGACCAGGAGCCACGCTTGGGTATTGTCTAACCCTTGGAAACACACCGGAAGACTGCTGGCACTTGACGCCTGTTTCCCAGAGTGCATTGCTGCGTTCAGCTCCGTTTTCCAAGACAAGCAGGTAATTGTCATTGAAGTTCAGTGGAGCCGGAGTGGGCAGGGCGTTGGTACATGTGACTTCCCAGGACCCTCTTTTGGCTATCCCAGGATCCGGGGATATGTGTTAATGCGGCCTCCCAGATAATTAAAAAAAATTTTTTAAGAGAGGAAGGGATCCCTGGCTGGTGTCCTTAGTGGACTGAGTGCTGGCCTGCAAATCAAAGGGTCACCGGTTCATTCCCAGTCAGGACACAGGCCTGGGTTGCAGGCCAGGTCTTTGGTAGGGGTTGCTCAAGAGGCAATTGATTACTGTCTCTCTCAGACACTGAGGTTTCTCTTTCTCCCTCCCTTCGCCTCTCTAAAAATAAATAAAATCTTAAAAAAAAAAAAAAAAAAAAAGAGAAACATCAATTTGTTCTTTTATGCATTCATTGATTTTGTATGTGCCCTGACCTGGGACTGAACCTGCAACCTTGGCTTATTAGGATAATGCTCTAACCAACTGGGCTACCCAGCCAGGGCCCTCCCTGATAATTTTTCTCAGGGCCTCCTTTACACATTTTCCCCTCTGTGGACACCAGACTAGACCTACCCCCTGTCCAGTACTGTGCTGGTACAGCAGCTCTAGGGGGACGAAGCGGGGCAGCTCTAATATGTAGCCTCTTGTGAATTTCCTTCATCAGCTGTTGGTGAAAACAGGTATGACATTCGGAGCAGCTGCAGCCACTTTGGGACAAGAGGAGTGCTTTGCCCCACTCCCACCTACCATGGCAGAGCTAGATGGGAAAACCTGGCTCCTGGAGGGCGTGGGAGCTACTCTACCTTGGGACTTCTTTCTTTGGGTGATAATATCCTTTATTGTTCAAGCCTAGGTTTGGGTTTCCTGTCCTTGTGGCTGAAAGGATCCTGCTGAAGGTGTGTGTGTGTGTGTGTGTGTGTGTAGGCAGCACACTCCTTAGGAGAAAACAGAAAGATGCCAGGATGCAGCCTCTCAAAAATGCCTGAATTGAATCTTACAGACTGAGAAGGACTTTGGCAGGTGAAGTGGGGATAGGATTTCAGAAGGGACTGTATATACAAAGAAACCGAGGCATGGATTTGTTCCAGAAAGCGTATTGGATGGAACCGGAGTACACAGCAGGTTACACAACAGTGTGCGGTAAGGCCAGAAAGGCGGGCGTGGGCTTCCCACTGAGGCTCAGGGGTTGGAAACTGCCCCTGGCGGGGTCAGTTCTGAGATTTTCTGTGGCTGCGTGGGGAGGGGGTGAGGGGGCGAGGGGGCGAGGGGGCGAGGGGCTGAGCCGTGGAGCCGTCAGGGAGGAGCCTGAGGCTGAAGAGGCTGAAAGCCAGGGGTCAGGGAGAGTCAGGCCTCCTGGTGTCAGCGTAGGTCGGCTCTGCCCAGGACTCTGCGGCCCCCGACCCAGCCACGGGGTTGATGCAGCCTTCGAGGCGTCGCTGGTCCCACAAAAGGTAGAGAAAGGTCTCAGGGACCATCCAAGCCTCGTAAACCAACGGAAGCGGGGCCCAGAGCAGCAGCTCTGTGGGGTGCGGGGGGCCAGAGGGGCGCCAGCCTGGGGCAGCGAGGCCAGTCCATCTAAGAAGGCAGGGACGAAGCAGACCCTCTCGGGGGGCGGGGAGGTGGCTTCCCTCGGCTGGCTGGCCCTGTGAGTGCCGGCTGAGCAGGTGCAGGCCGCTCCCTGGAGGGGGATGGAGAGCAGGGACCACAGGCTGGGAGACTGTGGGAGCTGAGGCAGCAGTAGTGGGCTCTGGGGAGCAATGTGGGAAGTGCCACCACCCTGTCCCGCGTCCCCTAGGTGGCCACACGTGTTGTCCTCGGGGGAGGCTGACTGCGACACCTCACCATCCCCCCATCATCTGCGTCAGCAGGAACCCAGAGTGCCGCGGTCCTGGGGGATCACAGGTGCTGGGCATCTGGCTGGGGAAGCTTGAGGGACTGTTCAGGGGCCTTCTGTTCTGAAGCAGCCGCATCCTTCTGGTCGCCGGCTGGAGCGGGGACAGGAGCGTCATCTGGAAAGGGAGGAAATGGTGGCACTAGAACACCCCAGCCCTCCAGGCCCCTGGCCCCTCCTCCCTCGGACCCAGGAGTCTGGGCCTCCGGCCTTCCCACCTCCCTGGGCCCAGGGCCAGCACCTGTGTTTTGGGGCTGGAACTTGAGCTGTCCCTCAGGGCCGTGGGCTGGCGCATCAGGGCCCTGCTGCTGCTGCTTCCTCTGTTCCATTTGCAGAACGGCCTGCAGAGGGTGGGGGAGATTGTGCAGGAGGAAGGATGCTAAGTTTCCACGCCCCGCTCAGTGCTCCTAGTCTTTCCTCTGTGGGTCTCAGTTCTTTTCCCCGCACTGATGGTTGGCCTCAATACGAAAGAGCCGGTTCTCCCTCTCTTGTCATGGCTTGGGTTGCACCTTGCGACAGGGAAGCCCTCACTGAACTCTTGCTGGAATGGACCCTTCTCTGCTTTCCCTCTTCTCCCTCACAGTCCCCTGCCCTTATCTAACATGGCAGCCGCGGGGCTGTGGGGCGGACATGTCTGCCCTCACTCAAGATGGCAGCTACCGCAGGATGATCTATCAGTGATGGACCGTGACCAGAAGCCTTCACAGCCTTTGGACACAAGAGGACAGGGGCCACCAGGGGCCGGCAGGACAGGCCCGGCTGCCCTGGCCGGTCACCTGCTGCAGCTCTCTCTTCTGGGCCTCCAGGCGGCCCTGGGAGCGGCCCAGAGCCTCCGTCTCCTGGCTGAGGCGCTGGGCCTTGGCGTTCAGCTCTGCCTCCCTGGCGGCCAGCTCCTCCTCGAAGCGCCGCAGCTCCTCCTCCGTGTAGGCAGGATGCATCTCCACTGTCTGCCCGGGTGGGGACAGGGACCGTTAGCAGGTGCCTCCGGTGCTGGCCTCCCCCCACCCCCCCACCGCCATGGGGGAGAGGTGTCTGCCTTCGGGGAGGCCTGGGCCCTGGGCGTGGGCGGCAGAGGCCTGGGTGGAAGCTGGGGACGCGGGATGAAGACTCAGGGAGAGCCGAGAACAAACCCAGAGAGAGACGGGGACAGTGGCAGGCTGGGTGGGGCGCTGCACAGGGACCCAGTGAGTAAGAGAAATGCCCAGGGCCCTTGAAAGAAGGGTTAGGGCTGGAAGAGAAACATATTCAGGACCCAGGAAATTCCCCTTGTCCTCACCTCCCAGCCCTCCCCTGTGTCCCCAAACTCCTTCCTCTGGGTGGATGCGAGGAACTCCTCCAGGGTCACGAGGCGGTCCTGGTTGGTGTCCACCTGGGGAGCCAGAGAAGGGTAAGGGACAGGGCTGGCCACCCCCGCCCCCAGCTCCCACCTGTCCCCTTGGCTGGGGGCTCCCCTCACATTTTTCATCACGTGCTCCCGCATGCGCAGCCGCTCCTCCTCCATCTCCCGCATGTCATCTTCCTCGTTCTTGGGGTCATACACCTTCTCCAGCTGCAGTCAAGCGGGAGGTAGGACATACTGAGAGATCTAGGGCAGCCTGTTTCGCAGGCTACTCCATCTCCTTATACGCACAACCAGACGCCCATTAGTCCCCGGGGCACCCTGCCATTCATTCCTGGCAGCCTTTTTTTTTTTTTTTTTTGCCCCCCACTGGGGCTGCTGGGAGTTGTAGTTTTTCCTGAACTTAGATCCAGGGGGGCCTAGGGAAGGACCACGTGGCCGGTCTGGGCATCCTTGGCTTCCAAGACACTCACCTCCTTGGTGAAGAGGGCCTCCAGCTCCTGCTCATCCAGGACACCATCACTGTTGATATCTGAGGGGGAGGCAACAACGCATCTTGTGGGCCTGAGGTCAGGGGAGGTTAGGTCCCTGAGGGACCAGCTGCAGACAGAACTGGTGCTGTTTTAGAGGGCAGGTGACAAGTCTCCGAGAGTAGAATGGTGGCCTCGAGGCTTTAGTGCCCCGCAGAGCTGTTGCTGGGACAGTCCATTCCCTACCAACCAGGGCCCCGCGAGTGGAGCCGACGACGGTGGGGCTTCAGTGGGACCATCCTTGGGGCCACTGTCGTGACTGTCGTAGGATGACTTGATCCCTAGCACGTGGTGACACAGGCACAGGATCCCCTTTGCCCAGGATCCATGGGTTCCGGGGGCCTCTGCCTCCCAGAGAGCCCGGCCAGGAGGCTCTCCCGGCCAGTCCAGCTCCGTGGACTATGCTCACCGTCTCCACCTCTCCGCTCTCGCAGGTCAGCGCCTGCACCCATCCTTCCTGCTGAGGTGGCCAGAAGCCCTGACCTGGCAAAGCCGATGGTTAATTTTTAGCCCCTGTCTAACCCGATTCTGCCCGTGGCGTCCGAGCACCCTCCCCAGCTGCCCCGCTTCCTCCTGACTCCCACACCTCGGTACACCTTCTCTGTCCAGTCTTCAAATCTGTCCAATACAGTAGCCACTGGCCGCATGGGCTGCTCAAATTTAAATTAATATTAAATGAGATTAAAGTGTTAGTTTATGAATAGTCGTATGTGGCTGGCGTGTGCCATGCTGGGTGGCGCAGGACATTTTCCATCATTGCGAAGAGGGTGCTACTGGTCAGCACTTCCTTAGATGGGTTCCTCCAGTCCTTCAGCCTTCTTTTTTTTTTTAATGACTACTGTATTTTTTTAAAATTAATTTTAGAGAGAGAGGAAAGAGGGGGAGGCAGAGAGAGAGAAACATGACTTTGTTGTTCTCCTTATTGATGCATTCACTGGTTGTCTCCTGTATGTGCCCTGATCGAGGATCAAACCCACAACCTTGGGGGATCGGAATGATGCTCTAATCAACTGAGCTACCCGGCCAGGGCCTGGTCCCTCAGCTTTGATGCCCTCCATAAGCCGCCTCCACACCTGAATATTCAACTGCCTACTCTCCGTCTGTACGCATATGCCTACCAGACATCTCTAATTAAACACGAAGAGTCCCAGTTCCCCATCTGCCCTGACAAACATGCTTGCTCTTTATGTTCTATTTTTCTAGTTTCTCAGGCCAAACACCTTGGAGTCACCCTTGACCCTTTTGCCCCTTCATAACTCTCATCCAGTCCATCTGCAAGTCGTACTACCTTGACCTTCAAGATGAATCCAGAAACTGACCATTCTTCCCTCCTCCGGTGGTTCAGCCTCCAGCATCTCCTGCTTTCTGATGACGCATCTGGCGTCGACCCTCACACTTAGAGCTGGTCCTTGACACAGCACCCGGACGGAGTCTCTCACCCCATAAGGCAGATGGTGTCTGCTCAAAGCCCTTTTCCGGTGGCCCAGGACAGAATAAAGTCCAAATTCCTTTCCCCGGCTGTGACCTTGGATGGACAAAGTCCACTTTTCCCTGGGTGAGCTGACTGTTCCCTCCACCCAGAATCCTCTTCCCCAAAATCTCTGCAAGCTGCAGCCCCTCATTTCACTGAGATCTCTGTTCAAATGCCACCTCTCCAGGGCTGTACCATCCAATACGACAGTCACCAACCACATGGGGCAAGTTATTTTTTTTTTAAAGATTTTATTTATTTTTAGAGAGAGGGGAAAGGAGGGAGAAAGAGAGAGAGAGAGAAACATCAATGTGCGGTTGCCTCTCACGCACCCCCTACTGGGGACCTGGCCTGCAACCCAGGCATGTGCCCTGACTGGGAATCGAACTGGTGACCCTTTGGTTTGCAGGCTGGCACTCAATCCACTGAGCCACACCAGCCAGGGCCTACAAGTTAATTTAAATCAATAACAGCCAAATAAAAATTTCATTTTCTCGATACTATGCCACAAAAGGACAAATACTTTGATTTTACTTATACGAGGTAGCTAGAAAAGTCAAATTCATAGAGAAAAAAGCAAAAATAGAGGTTACCAGGGACTGGGGGGAGGGGTAACAGGGAGTTGTTGATTAATAAAGAGTTTCATCCCTGGCTGGTGTGGCTCAGCAGATTGGGTGCCAGCCGGCAGACCAAAGGATCACCAGTTCGATTCCCAGTCAGGCCACATGCCTGGGTTGGGGCCAGGTTCCCACTTGGGGACATGTGAGAAGCAATAACACACCCATGTTTCTCCCTCTCTTTTTCCCCTCTCCCTAAAAATAAATAAATAATAAAATCTTTTTTTCTTTTTTAAGCATCTTTAAAAAATATAAAATAAAGAGTTGCAGTTCCACAAGGATGAAAACAGATCTGGAGAGAGGTTGCACAGCAATGTGAACACACTTAACACATTGAGCTAGACACCTAAAGATGGCTAAGATGGGAAATTTTACACTGTCTGTATTTAACCAGAGTCACAAGTCTCCAAATATTCATCGAAACTAAAGAAAGATTCAGTTCCATGGTCATAAGAGCCACATTTTAAGTCTAGCAAAACCCTTCCTGACCAGGCTACCAAAAATTGTCACTCAAGGGCCTTAATCCCGTTGTCCTCATTTCCATGTGACATGTCACTCCCTGCGACTCTACTACGGAACCTACATCCCCGCCTCTAAGAGTTACCCACCCCCCACTGATTTTATCATCCCTGAAGTCGGCAGGGACGTTGTCATCGACGGCGCGTCAGTGGAGTTGGCAGCTTACGTAAAAACTCTAGTGTATCTTACACTCCGTGGTCTCACGGAGTCACTGAAACACAGATTTATCACTGGATCTGTGAGGGCAGCTTTGTTTTGTTCACAGCTGTATCCACTGGTCTCCGTGAAGCCTGGTCCTTAGAAATCGCTTAGTTACCACTTACTGACTGAAGGAACCGGGCCCTGCGAAGTTCTACTGACAGGTTACAGCTTCTCCATTGGGGTCCTGGGCACACCCCAGGGGGGCCTGGAAAGCCCAGACTACGTCTCCCGACAGGAAGAGGATGAAGCGGATCGTGCCGCGGACAGCCATGGGCGAAGGCGCTCCCTGGGGGCCTGTTTAGCTGGGGAGCAGCCCACCCTGAGGGACAGAGAGCTCCTGGCGGGACCCAGGGCTCCTGGGAGGCCCAGCCAAGCCTGGTTTGCTCAGTTAGAGGATACCGGCCAGTCTTTGGAACCCAGAAGTCGGGTGTATCCCAGAAGAGGCATGGGTGTCCCATGGAAGGGTCTAGCAAACTGGACCACCAGGGGAGACGAGCCCAGACGGCTTTGGCCTGCCTAAGCTCCACAGAGATGGGGAGACCCCTCCTTAGCATTCAGGCCTCAGGAAGGTCAGGGCCTCAGAATTTAGCCTGGGTCTTGGGACACCCTCCCCACCTTACCATGCAGTATGAAGAAGGTCTTGGGGTTAAACCTGTTGGGATCCAATCCATCCAGCTCCTCCCACACCTCCTTCAACTGGGCTTGGCTGCCCTGTGGAGTGGAGAGCCAGGGGCTCGTGAGCAAGAAGTCTGGGTCCTACAGGGTCAAGCTAGAGAGCCCTTTATACCACCGTCCCTCAGAGTCGTTCCCCTTAAGCAAGAAAACTAATAAAACTACAACTCCCAGCAGCCCCCAGGGGTATCTGGGTACATTGAAAGGGACTTTTGCCTCAGGGTCTGCCGGGAGTTGCAGTTTTTCAGCTACATTCTTGTGGGGTTTGGGGAATTGGACATATGGGGGAGGGGTGACCACGAATGGGGGTCCTTACAGGCACATTGACTTTCGGGTGCTCCCGGTGTCGTCGCTGTTGCTCTTCCAGCTTCCTCTCTGCCTCCTTTCGCTGCTCTTCTCCCAGGGACTCCAGGTAACGGCGTCTCTCGTGTTCTTTGAGCATCTCGTAGCGTTTGAACTCTTCATGATGGGCTGCATCATACTGGGCAAGGTCCCGGGTGGCCTGGGGAGAGGGTGACAATCACTCTCGTCGCACGTCTACGTCCAGCACCAAATTCCAACCTCCAAATGCCAGGCCCTTGACTCCGAACCTGGCCCAACCTCCACCCAGTCCTGGTTCCCACATCCTGCTCTCCGCACTTGGCCTTTGACCCACTCTTGCCCCATTACAGAGCTTCCCCTCTTTGTTTCAAGTCCTCCACAATGTCATGATCTTGGAGGAATAAGTAATAAGAAAAACACACGAGGTGTATTTTATATACACCCAGAATTTAAATCCAGGCTCTGCTGTGTGAACAAATCCCACTAACTGTGTGATCTAGGGCAAGTTACTCAGCCTCTCTGTGCTTCAGTTTCTGCCTCTGTAAAATGGAGATAACAATATTACACTGGGGGAATAGCGTCCCCCCCAAATTCATGTCCCCCCAGAGCCTCAGAATGTGACCCTATTTGGAAATAGGGTCTTTGCAGATGTAATTAATTGAGGTCCTACTGGATTAGGGCGGGCCCTAAATCCAATGATCAGCGAGCGTCCTTAGAAGAAGGCTACAGAGAAGACCCAGCGAGACTGGGCAAGAACGCCATGTGACGCTGGAGGCAGAGACTGCAGTAACATGTCTGCAAGTCGAGTGCCGGCCGCCTCCAGAGGCAGGAAAAGGCAAGGCGCAGGTTTTTCCTGATAGCCTCTGAAGAGAGCAGAGCCTTGCCAAAACCTTGATTTTTGGCCCAGTGATACCAGTTTTGGACTCCTAGCTTCCAGATTTGAGAGGATACACATCTCTTGTTTTAAGCCACGGAGTCTGTAGCAATTTGTTACAGCGGCCTCAGGAAACTAATACACCCAGTAAGACCCCTCTTGACTTCTGACCTATTCTGAATAATAAACTTGTGTTAAGCTACTAGGTTTGTGATTGTTATGTGGCAGCAATAGGAAATTAATACAGCTGTCGCGTGGGGAATAGATGGTACAGCAAGGGTTCTCATCCTGGGGCTACTGTGACCTGCAGGGAACAATTTTCAATGTCTGAAGACATTTTTGATTGTCACAATTAAGGTAGGTCTGCTGGCATGTAGGGGACATAGGCCAGGGATGCTGCTAAACATCATACAATGCACCAGCAGCCCCTGATAGGGGATCTCAAGAGTTTAAGGTTTTGGCTGTAGTTCCGGTCGATAGGCTTAAGTGACGAATGCACGTGGAAAGCTGCTATTCCATGAATGTGACCTACATGACTCCAGCAGGTCAACAAGCAAGTCAACCTTTGTGTGTTCCAGGGAGGGAAAGGCCACGAGGCAGATGAAGAATTGTTGATAAGCAGATTTAAAAAAACACTAGGAGCCCTGGCTGGTGTGGCTCCATGACTGAGTGCCAAGTGGTCTGTGAACCAAAGGTTCACTGGTTCGATTCCCAGTCAGGGCACACACCTGGGTTGCGGGCCAGGTCCCCAGTAGGGGGTGCATGAGAGGCAACCACACATTGATGTTTCTCCCCATCTCTCTCTCTCCCTTCTCCTCTCTCTAAAGATAAATAAAACCTTAAAAAATATACTATAAAAATCACCACTGGACTGCAACTCTTATCTGATTAACCTTTTTTCCAAATCCCTTACCTACTCTTTTCTTCTCCTTATAAAAATGTCAGCTTGAGATGAAATTTTAAGGCAGTCTTTAGGGTATATAACTCGAAGTCTTCTCAGATCACTTGCATCTGAATAAAGTGCCCATATTCGATCCTTGCCCTGACCAGTGTGGCTCAGTGGGTTGGGCATCATCCCGCAAACCATAAAATGGCCGGTTCAATTCCCAGTCAGGGCACATCCCTGGGCTGTCAGCCAAATCCCTGGTTGGGGGTATGCAAGAAGCAACCAATTGATGTTTCTCTCTCTTTTTCTCCCTCCCTTCCCCTCTCTCTAAAAATGAATAAATAAAATCTTAAAAAAAACCTCAATCATTCTCTCTACTTTTTGATTCTAGGAATGATAGGCACCACAAACGCCGACTTCTCTGGTTTGGCCCCCACAACAAAGAATTGCCCAGCCCCAAGTCAGGAGGGCAGAGTTGAGAAACCCTGCTGGCAAGCGTGGAAGGCAGAGGCAAGGTGCCCAGTGAGGAAGCAGCAATGAGAGATAGGTGACAGGAATTGAGACCGCGAAAAATGACAGCGGGGCAGGAGAAAAACAGACAGTTTCTGCAATGTTCTGGAAATAAGTGACAAGAACAGCCAAGTGCAGGGCTGGACTCAAGTCGCTGCTATTATATGTATGGCCACTAGATGGAGCTCCAGCAAGCCAGAAAAGCAGGGCCAGGGCCAGGTTGAGGCGTAGATCCCGTGCCCACAGGAAGGCTGTGTGCAGAGAGAGCAGGGGCAGTCCTGGGCATCCCCTTCCACGCTGGGCCTTCTCCACGAGGCAAGCTGTAGATCCCATTTCTCATCACATCAGGAGTGTATTCCTTCCGATGGCTGCTGTAACAAATTCTCACCAGCTTGGTGGCTTAAAACAATACACATGTATCACCTTCCACAGCACGGAAGCCAGAGCGCTGCAATTAGTTCTACTGGACTGAAATTAAGGTGCCAGCAGGGCTCTGCTCCCTCCAGAGACTCTAGGGGAGAATCTGTTCCTTTGCTTTTTCCAGCTTCCAGAGCTGGAGTCCACACTGTGGCTCCTTTCCTCCATCTTCAAAGCCAGCCGGGGAGCATCTGGCTTCCGCGGTCCTGTTGCAGCCGAGGGCTGTAGTCAAATCTCATTCTTCTCCATCTTTTAAGGACCCTAGTGATGAGATTTGGGGCCAATGTGGACAATCCATGATCGTCTCACCAGCTCAAGATCCTCAACGTAATCACGCCTGCAAAATCCTTTTTGGCTTACAAGGTCACATGTCCACAGGTTCCACGGATGAGGGCATGGCATCTTTGGGGAGGGGCCATTATTCTGCCTACCGCAAGAGCGCAGAAGGGACAGCCCCCTCGGGAGGAAGGCTATGAAACCAGGTCTTAGTGGAGCAGAGCCCGTCCAGCCTACACCTCTACTTTCCTGTAGAGACTCTGGGGGGGGGGTTTTAGGTGCCACCAGGCCCTCGCCAGCTGCCAACATCAGAGAATGCCAGGTAGAGGTTAGTGGGCTTGTGTCCCAGGCTCCGTTCCCCTCTCTCCCTCCACAAAGCTCCCTCGGTCCTCTGCCACCCTCACGCTACCGTCTGAATCAGCAGCTCTAGGTCCCGGGCCTCGAAGGTGTGCTGATTCTGAGGATCCAGATGTTCAAACTGCTTCAGGAGGTTCAGGTGATCCAACTGTACATCTGGATAAGGGGAAAGATGGAAAAAAAACCAAAACCCTGACTCATAGAATGTTCTTTCTTTCAAAATCCCTACCCTGGGCTAGATGTGCTCTAAAGGAAGTCACATAGGGCTCTGAAGAAGCCCACAGGGCAGGCTGATTGAACCTGAGGTAATCAGGGAGGGCTTCTTGGAGGAGGTGATGCCACAACTGAGCCTCATGTTTCAAATAACAACAATTAACATGTATGGAGTACTTACTATATGCAAGGTCCTGCTGTAAATACATTAACTATATTAATATATTATCTTTTCACAAGAATCTTACAACAGAGGTTCTATGGTTCTCCCATGTTATGGATGCAAGAACTGAGGCTCAGAGAGGGGAAGTGACTTGTCTAAGTCACCATCTAGGAAATGGCAGAGTGGGGATTAGAACCAGCCACTCAGATCCAGGGCACGTGCACTCATCCCCTGTTATGGGTTGAGCTGTGGGCCCTGAAGCTCATTTGTTGAAGTCCTAACTCCCGGGACCTCAACATAGGACCTTCTTTGGAGAGGTTTTTACATTTTACAGAGGTGATCAAGTTAAAATGAGGTCATTAGGGTGGACCCAAATCCAGTATGACTGGTATCCTTTAAAAAAAAAAAAAGGAAAAAGGAAAATTTGGACACAGAGGCGAAATGATATGAGAAGGCACCAGAGGACGGTGGCCATTCATAAGCCAAAGAGAGAGACTACAAGACACTCTTCCCTCCACCTTCGGAAGGAACCAACCCTGCAACACCCTGACTTCAGACGTCTGGCCTCCAGACCTGTGACAATAAATGCCTATGGCTGAATCCGTGCAGCCCGGGGCCTTGGTTAGGACTGCCCTAGGGAAGTATGTGAGCTCCTCAGAGGGGCCTTTTCCAGCAGTCAGGAAAGGGCCGGCCTTCCGGGCGGGAAGGCGGAGGCTCGCGCACACTCATTCGCTGAACTCCCGTCTCCGGAGGCCTCCCAGAGGCTGGATGTGTGTCAGGCCCGGGATGGCCCTCCAGTGTCTCCTGCTCAGGAGGGGGTGACAGACGCACACCCAGGCGGCTGGAATCCAGGTGCCCCGTGTCGCCACGGAGCCAGCCTGGGCGGGGTGAGCCTGGAGGGCACAGGTGCTCAGGAGACTGAAGCTCAAGATTCACTTTTCATTCCCTCGATGCAGGCTGAGCCGCTACTCTGTGGCGCTGGCGCCACAGCAAGAAGCAGACAGCGACAGAGTCTGCCCCACAAAGGACACAAACAGGCTCCTCCATGCAGGGGGTCAGGGCAGGACTTTCTCAGGAGCTGACATCTGAGCTGAGAGCAAAGCTCAGAGAAAGGATGCCCCAGGCAGAGGGACGCGCAGAGGCAAAGGCCTCGAGGTGAGAAAAACGTGTCCATTTCAGTGCTTCCTAAAAATGCTGATGCAAGCGGTCAAGACAGCGGACACGTGACGGGAGGGGCGGAGCCGCCCTGGCGCGCCTCCAGGCAGCCATGAGGGCAGTGGACTTGATCTTGAGGGCAGTGCGGAGCTATGGATGGCTTCTGAGCAGAGGAGGGACAGGACTTGAACTGGGGGTGTGGTGCACTGAAAAATATCCCCCAATGTGCCCACATCCTAATCCCTGGAACCTGTGAATATGTGACCTCACATGACAAAAGGGACACTGTGGATGTGAGTAAATTAAGGATTCTGAGACCCGGAGGTTAATCCCGATTGCCCGGGTGGTCCCTAAATGGAACCCCAAAGGCCCTTAAAAGCGGGAGGCAGAGGGAGATCAGACCCCAGTAGAAGGAAATGTGACCACAGAAGGAAATGCTATGCTGCTGGCTTTGCAGATGGAGGGAGGGGGTACCAGCCAAGGAATGCGGTTCTGGAATCTGGAAAAGGCGGTTCTGGAATCTGGAAAAGGCGAGGAGCCTCCGCAGGGAGCCAGCCCTGCCGACTTTGATCCTGGGCCAGTGACACTGATTTCAGACTCTGACCCCCAAACTGTAAGGGAGCAACTGTGTATTACTTGAAGCGACTAAGTTTCTCATAATTTGTGACAGCGGCCCCAGCGAATGAATACAGGTGTTAGCAGGATCCCACCTGCAGCTGCATGGGAAAGAAACAAACGGGGTGGGGCGGGGGGACCAGGAGGGAGGCCACAGCAGTGTTGGAGCATCGTCCCCATGTGCCAGGGTTGCGAGTTTGATCCCCGGTCAGGACACATACAAGAATCAACCAATGAGTTAATCAATAAGTGGAACAACAAACTGATGTCTCTCTCTCTCTCTGTCTCAAGTCAATAAGTAAAATTTTTAAAAAGATTTTTTAAATTTTTATTTATTTTTTAAAAGATTTTATTTATTTTTAGAGAGGGGACAGAAGGGAGAAAGAGAGAGAGAAACATCAGTGATGTGCCAGAGAAAATTGGATCAGTTGCCTCTCACACACCCCCAACGGGGGACCTGGCCTGCAACCCAGGCACGTGCCCTGACCAAGAACTGAACCAGTGACCTCTCAGTTCACAGTCAAACAGTCCACTGAGCCACACCAGCCAGGGCGTATTTATTTATTTTCAGGGGGAAGTGAAGGGAGGATGAAAGAGAGGGAGAGAAACATCATCAATGTGAGAAGAACATCAATCGGTTGCCTCTCACAGGCCCCCTACTGGGGACTTGGCCTGCAACCCAGGCATGTGCCCTGACAGGGATTCGAACCAGAGACCTTTCAGTTCGCAGGCCAGTGCTCAATCTACTGAGCCACACCAGCCAGGGCTAAATTTTTAAAAATTATTTAAAACAGCCTGGCAGAGAAGCCATGAATGGTTACACAGTGGAGGCCAGAGACCGTGCCCTTCTGGCCACCGGAGACCTCCAGCACCTGCCGAATGCCTGGCACGTAGCAGGATTTAAGACCTGTTTGGTCCATGGATGAATGGAGTCAGATAGAAATAAAACCAAAGGCCAGCTCTCCCACTGACCCCTAACATCCTCCACCAATGCACAGGGTCCCCATCTGTAACACAGGAGCCTCACAGGCTGTCAGGAAATGAAAGAAGCTAGAGGTGCATCTCAATAAAGGGGCACATTCTTATACTTAGTGATGGGCCGAAACATGTCCCAGCCGTACCAGAACATACCAGAAAGTGACAATAAGTAAATGGAATGGCCCACATAGCGAAGGATGCAAACAACCCAGATGTTCATCAACTGATGAACAGATAAACCAAATGTGGTCTAGCCCTACAGTGGAATATTACTTGGCCCTGAAAACAAATGAAGCACTGATCCATGCTGCAGTGTGGATGGACCTTGAAAAGAGGCTAAGGGAGGCCCTGGCCAGGTAGCTCAGTTGGTTAGAGCATTGTCCTGATATGCCAAGGTTGCAGGTTCGAATCTCTGGTCAGGGCACACACAAGAATCAACCAATGAATGCACAAATAAGTAGAACGGCAAATTGGTGCTTCTCTCTCTCAAATCAATAAATAAAAGCAATTAAAAATATGCTAATGAAAAGAAGCCAGGCACAAAAGGTCCGATACTGTATGATGCTATTTCCATCAACTGTCCAGAAAAGGCAATCTACAGAGACAGGAAGTAGGTTAGTGGTTGCCGGGCTGGGTGGCGGAATAAGGGTGTGACAGCTAAAGGACACGGGTGTCCCTTGGGGGTGAAGTCAACGTTCTAAACTTGACTTTGGTGATGGTTGCACATACCTGTGAATATACTAAAAACCACCAAATTATATACTTTAAATGGCTAAGTGTATGGTATATGAATTGTATCTCAATAAAGTATTTACAGGAAATAGCAGGCTATCCTTTGGGCGATGAGCACGCGATGCAGTGTGTAGACGGTGTCTTACTGAATTGTACACTTGAAACCTGTGTGGTTTTATTAACCAATGGCACCCCAATCAAGTCAATTAAGCAAGTAAGTAAATAAATAAAAGAAATGGCATGGTCTAGACACATTTCGACAAACCATATCTAGGCATGTTAGAAATAGGCTGGGATCTTGGAATATAAACCCAAAACTTTCTCTTGAGTCATTACTCTTCCTTCTCTCGTTCCTCCCTCCCTCCCACCCCCTCCCTCCTGTCCCTCCTTCTTTGCATTTAGAGTGAAAAAAAGTTTATTAATGAAGCTGTGGGACAGAGAGTGGCTACTCCATAGAGTAGCCTTTTTTTTTTTTTTTTAAGCCAAGTAATTAGACTACAAAATATGGCCTGATATAAATGTCAGGAACTTAGAATCATTCTAGCGGGAGAAATACAGAATCATTAAGCAAAGAAAAAGATACAGTGGAACCAGTTAAACCTCCTGGCTCTGATCACTGTACTGTGGTTTCATAGGCAAATGTCATCGTTCCAAGGAAAACCACAATGAAATATTCAGGCGTGAAGGGACAAGGTGTCCACAAGGAGCTTGCAAACATGAATTAAAGGCGAAGAGAGCAAATGTTAACAACTGGAGCATCTGGGTTAAGGGCATTTGGGTGATTTTGGTGCTATTCTTGCAACTTTTTTTGTAAATCTGATGTTACATCAAAAACAAAAAAAGAATGAAGTTACATCAAAATTTTAAATGAGCATGATTTTTAAAAATAAGAAAAACCCAGACAGAAAAAAGCAGTTATTGTTCTAGAAAGTTATTGTTCTAGAAAGAATATTCTACCAGTCTTCCGTGCACATTTTTTAAAAATCCTCACCTGAGGATATGTTTTGATTGATTTCAGAGGTGGGGGGGGAAAGAGAGGCATCGATATGAGAGAGAAACACTGACTGGTTGCCTCCTGTACACGCCCTCACAGGGGACCGAACCTGCAATCTAGGTGTGTGTGCTGACCAGAAATGGAACTTGCAACCTGTTAGTGTACAGGACGATGCTCCAGTCAACTGAGCCGCCCGGCCAGGGCTTCCATACACATTTTCCAGGAGGCCCTACCTGCCGAGTACAAAGTACGCTGCAAGCCCAGGACTAGATGGCCTGCCCTCGCGGCCCACTAGCCCCACCCCTGCTTACTGGGCTCCTGCTGCGCGTCCATCTTGGCCTTGAGCAGCATCCGAAGCCGCGACACTTCCTGCCGTTTGAGCTCATCCAACTTGGTTCGGACATGGTGGCTGACGAAGTCCAGCTCTCGGCTCAGCTTCCCGCTCTGGCCAGGGAGTGAGGGGACACTGGTCAAGCAGGAGGCTTGGGAGGGGGCGCGCTGAGCAGCCTCGTCCTTTCTCTGGCCTCTCTGGAACCTTCTGCAAGCTTTCGGATGCCCACCAGGGCTCGGCAGAGCGTCTGAGACAAAGTCCCGGCCCCTCAGCTTGGCATACGAGGCCTTGCCCACCTCGGCAGCCCCGCCTCCTGTCACTCATCGAATCACACTCTTGGTTCCAGCAACACTAACTGGGTGTAAGAGCCCAAGCTCAAGGCTCTTTCCCACCTCCAGACCTTTGCACATGCCGGTCCCCCTGCCGGGGAGGCTCTCCCATCACTGCTTTTCAAGCCTAATCAAATCCTCTCTCTCCTTCAAAACCCAAAGCAGACGGTACCTCCTTGGGAAGAATTTCCCCAACCATCCTCTCGGCCCGGTCCCCGCCCCCACGTGCTGAGCAGGGTGCCTGCTCCGAGCTCCCTCTATGATCACTTTGGATTATGTCCGTTTCTCAGTCAGAGCCCCCAGGGCTCCCCAGTGACCCCAGGGCAGAATTCCTGGGCTTGGCACTCCAGTGACGCTGCACTCACCCACCGCTCCCGCCCCACGCCCTTGTCTGAGTGTCAGTGACACTGAGCAGCCAGCTGGACGTCTCCCAACGCTGGCTCCGCACCCAGTTCCTACCGGCTGAAGTGCCACGCCCCCACCCCGCCCCCTCCCATTTCAACTTCCGTACCAGGGACCCTCCCACTCAGAATCAAGCCTCATGCGGGGGAGGGTTGTTTCCCTGGACTGGGCCTCTCTTTGGGGTTTCCCCAGAGGCTTCCAGTAAATGATCGCTCAGATCGTTTCCTGTCACTCATGACTCATGTGGGGAGGGGGCATGGCCGTTGCCAATGCAGGAGGACAAGTCCTATGAGTCAAGCTCTGTGTTGGACTGACGCGATCTGTCCTCTAGTTCTGCCCACAGCCCCATTTTACACGTGAACAAAGTGAGGTCCAGGGGAAGCCACTTGCCCAAGGTCCCTTAGTGAGGATGGGAGGCCAGTTTCCAGCCTGGTGACCAGGTTGTCATGCATCCCAGAGCAGGCGTCCTGGTGTTGGGAACCATCCGCCCTGGTTACAGGGACTGTGGCCCCGCTGACAGGCGAGAGGGCCCCAAGGCGGGAGCTGAGCAAGGAGGCCTTGGGAGAACAGGCCGCAGAGGAGACAAAGCCTGTCCCCCTGGCAGGGGCGCAGCCCTGCCTCCCTCACATCAGCCTGCTTGGCCCAGAAGGGTGGCTGGTTAGTCAATGACAGGCAAGATCCCTAGATGGCACGGCCAACCTAAGACAGGCACAATCACATAGGGGCCATCAGGAAAAAACCTGGGGGACACAGAGAAAGGGCAAAAGACCCTCACCCCTTGGCTTTGATAGGGCCAGAGTCCTCAGTCTATCTGAAAGAAGTCTCATCTCTTGGCGGCTCTGATTCCCCACCCCACCCCGCCCCGCCCCGCCCTCGCAGGCTCAGGCTTGAAACAACACTGGAGACAGCCCTAAACTGGATCGGGCCGTTCCCGGGGGAAATCAGGCCGGGAAGTAAATTCCTTGAAGCATGCTCTGTTTTTCCCTCAAAAACTATGATAACCAGCTCATGCCGGAAAGGAAATTTACATTATTCCCAGCCCCTGACCCTAAACCCTTTGGCGCTATTATGTTTACGCTCTCATGTTTACTCGTCTCCTCTTGGACCCATGGAAATTGGTGTGTTCCTGCCATTTGTTTTCTTCAAAACATCACCTATTCTCTGTGAACATTAACATACTGATATAATGAGATCACCTGTGCATTCCTACTACCTAGCCCTAACTCTTTCAATGAAAGCCATTGAGCACAGGGGCTTTGGGGCCTTCTCCACTAGAGGGTAGTGCCACCCGTTTCCCTGGCAGACCGAGAAAAGTGGGATGACTTATTTTATTTCCCCATCCATGACCACCCGGAGCGTACCCCGCAGGACAGTTTCCGCCTTCCACCTCATCCTGGGGCCTGGGTTCAAATCCCAGCCCTGGCACTACCTTACTGCATGACCCTTCCCAGCACACCCTTTTCCTGCCCTGGACCTCAAAAATGGGGTTGGTGACAGCCACCACCAATGACGACATTTACCGCAGGCTCCTGATGTGCCTCAGCCTCTGTTTTCTGAGAAGGAAACCAAGGCACAGAGGGGTGCAAGCTGCTTACCGGGAGAGTGGAAGGGGGAGCTGGGACTGGAACCCAGCACCATCCCGCTCCGCCTAAGTGGCCACTGTTTCTAACTTCACTTCCCAGTTGTGTGACTTTGGGCAAGACTTTTGGGCCTCAGTTTCCCCAGATAGGCAGTGGGAGGGGCTGGGCTCAGCTGTCTCTGCTTTCACCTGTCTCTCTTCAGGGGCGGGGTGGACAAGCACAGACAAGAGCCCAGGGAATGCTGCGAGGTTTGGGGGGTGGGAAGCAGGGCCGCCCCTGGCAGCAGTCCCAGATCCCGGGGCCTATCCTGGGCCCAGGTGTTTGGAGAACTTGGGGTGTCTCCTCCAGAAGGGACATCCTAACAGCACCCAAGTAGGGAGGGAATCGTGGGTGGTGGGATGGGGCGAAGGAGCGGGGCAGGGACTTGGGGTCGGCAGCCCTGACTCCTCAGGAGGGCTGCCGGCATCGTTTAAAGGGGCCGCTGTGGGGGGGATAAGGTGGGGCATGGGCTTTGGGCTCAGCCAGTCTGGGGGGTGAGACTCGGGCCCACAGGCAGAACAAACACTGCTACGGGGCCCTCAGTGTTCCCTTCTGTAAAACGGGGCTAATCAGGGCTCCTCCGTGCCGCGCCCAGGGAACCAGCCCTCACATGCACCCACTGAGGACTGCTGCTGCGGACCTGACCCCAGGGGACAGGCTCTGTTAGACCCCCCTTTCACAGAAGGGGAAAGCGAGGCACAGCCATAGGGGCTGGTAAGTGTTAGAGCCTGCGACATCCGCCTCTGTGCTTAACCACACAAGTCTGTGTTCGCCAAGTCCCTTCCCAGCTGTGTGACCCTGGCAAGCGATTCCTCCCTTTGTGAGGGCCGGAGCCACGAGGCCTCTTCAGGGGACCCGGTCCTTCGCCAACACTCTGCCCCGTGAGCACGTGTCCCCTCCCCCGCTCGCACCCCGCCGCACCTTGATGTCCTCAGCATTGGCGGCCTGCAGCTTCTCTCGGAAGTGCCCATCCGTCTCCAACACGTTGATGACCTCCTGGAGGTACCGGTGGTAGTACAGGCCCGTGTCCTGAGGCGACAAAGATGAACATAGCAGCTCCAGCCCCCACCCTGCTTCTTCCCCAAATGTAAGACCCAGGCCCTGCTCCCCTCAGCATTTGCTGAGGGGCCCAGAGAGACCCCCACGGGGTGCGGGAGGCTGGAATATGGGTAAAGGCTCTGCAGCCAGCAGACATCTGATCTGTAACCCAGGCAACCTTCCTGACCTACAGGCCCCGCTCTCACCTCTTCGGGAGCGGAGACGAAATGAGTGTCACCGGGGCAAACAGAGGGGCTCAACACCGCCCGCTGGGTGAGGCTTACAGAGCGGACACACTGGTACTTGTTGGCAAGCAGTGAAACATTCGTTCATTCACTCACGCACTCAGTAAGCAGTCACAGCGCCCCTACCACGCGGTAGGTGCTGTTGCAGGGAATACAGCAAGTGAACAAGACAGACAAAACTCCTTGGGCTCCTGGTCCTACTTCCCAGAGCTGCGCTGCAAATGAGATAAATGGCCTGGCGGGCTGGTAGGGATAAAGAAGATACTCACTCTGCTCTAGCTCACTGCGTTAATTAATTGAGGAGCACATAGCAGGTGCTTAATACACAGTACGCAAATCACCCAGCTGTGCCATGGTGGGTACACTAATTTCCTATTGTTGCTAAAACAAAGTATCACAAACTCAATGGCCTAGAGCAACACAAATTTATTCTCTTAGAGCTTTGGAGTTCACAAGTGCAAAACAGGCTGCCGGGGCTCAACTCATTCTGGAGGCTCCTGGGGAGACTCTGTTTCCTTGTCTTTTCCAGCTCCTATGGGCGCCTGCGTTCCTTTGCTCAGGCCCCGCGTCACTCTGACATCTTCTTACATCTGATTCTGACCTTCCTGCTTTCCTCTTAGAGGGGGTCCTCACGCTGGGTCACGCTGGGCTCACCTAGATGATCCAGGACAACGTTTCCATCAAGACAATGAACTCAGTCATGCCTTTGAACACTCTTTTGCCACATAAGGTAATATATTCACAGGTTCTGGGGATTAGGGCAGTGACATCTTTGGGGACCATTAGTCAGCGGCGCACAGTGGGCTGGAACCCCAAACCTGCCAATCATGAGCCATGGGACCTTGTTAGGACCACTATGATACCTAGGCGTCCTGTGTTTTTATTTGCTTAATCTGGTAAACTTAATCCTCGAACGAGTTATTTATGTCTCTCTGTGGCTCAGTTTTCTCATCCATCGATGGCGATGTTACGATCATTGTTGATGCTAGTGATGTTTACAACATTCTGTGCTTTCCGTTAGCCTCGGTATAAAGAAATTCTCTGCCATGGCCCAGGAGGCCCGGAGCGATCTGCCTCGTCTCCTCTCTTGCTCCAGCTCCAGCCGCACTGGCCTCTTCCACCACAGAGCCTTTGCCTACGCTAGTCACTCTGCCTGGAATGGTTCTCCCCTGCACTTCAGACCTCAGCTCAATGAGTTCTCCTGCCAGACCATAACTCCTAGTTCTCAGGAGCCCAGTGAGCTGGGCTGGTCTGTGTTGGTATTGGCTTACATTAGCGCTATGCCTGGTTCATTGAAGACGCTCAAGGAATGCGTGGAAGGAATGAAGGGAAAGGGAACACAAAGGTGCCTTTCTGTGCCTGCAAAGATGTCACCGGGCAGAGGCCTCGCTTGCTGGGTGGGGACCTGCCACACAGGAGCAGGGCACGATCTGTTCCAGAGATAGTGATTTCCCATCCCTAGTGGGAGCTGTAGGGGGATTCAGGTCACGAATCAGGGCATCGGCCTTGAGGAAATCTTTCAAGTTCCAAGTTCCAAATCCCCTAAGACCAAATGTTTCTTAGTGTTGGGTAAACACATACTTTAATTAGTAAACGAGCAGACTATATGCACCTTTGTAATTTGAACTAGAAGTCCCACAAGCTCCAGGAAGTGAAAGCAGCCCAGTTAGCTAACAACACGCAACACCTGCTCAAGGTGCTACTGGGAAATGTAGTTCCTTTTTCCAGAATCTTTCTTGGGGGGGAGGAAGAGTCTTTAAAAAAAAGCAGAGAGGTTTAGATGTGTGTGTGGAGGGGGAAGAGGTGATTCCGACTTTTCACTTAAAATCTGACCTGATTTCCCACACCTCAGGGTCAGGGGCTTAGAAATCTGCCCTCTCCTCTGCCCACCCCCGCCCCCGCCCCCGCCCCCGCCCCCGCCCGTTTTTCACCACGTCAAAGCCCCGGGACTACAAAAAATGGAAGGCAAACTCCTAGCCGTGTCCGTGGGGGGAGTATCCACCCAGGGGCCACGGGGTTCCGCGGGACTTGTAGTACCACTGCAAACACCTGGCTGGAAAGCAGGGCAGGACCACTCACGGGGCTCTCGGTCGCGGGGCTCTCCTCCTTGGACGTCCCCCGGTCCAGGGGCACGGTCAGAACAGCGCGGAGCAGCAGCAGCGGTGGCAGGAGGAGGGCCGCGCGGGGCCCAAAGGGCGGCATGGCGGCGTGATCTGTGCGGGTGGAGAGGTGGATCATGTCAGTCCCAAGCCCCATCCTTCCCGGGACCCAGGAGTCAGGCTCCCCGCACAACACACACTCCCCTTCTTTCCAAGCGTCAAGAATCAAAGTGTCTCGTTTTCTGGGACCCAAAATTCCGAGCCTCCAGCCTTTCCCTCTTTAGCCCTAGGTGTCCGGACTCCCTACACCCTCTTCGCTCGCTGGCTCAGGAATCCGGGACCTCAAGTCCCTTTTTCCCCAGACCCAAAGGTCTAAGCCCCCAGCTCTCTTTTACCCTAGGATCTAGGAGAGCTGGTGCCCAGCTCGTCCTCTTCTGAACTTAGTCTTTCAGCCCTCTAGCGCTCCATCTCCCCTCCTTCCCAGGACCCGAGAGCCTAGGAGATCCCAGACCCTCACCTCTCCTTCACCGCAGAGGGCGTTTTCCCGGGCTAGGACCTCGGCTGCATTCTCGGCGATTTCCCCTCTAGGTCACGCCCACTTTCCCGCAGAAGACCCGCCCTCAGCAGTCTGATTGGTCCACGCTGGCTCCCGGCCGCTTGGTTCTTTCCTAGTGGCCCCGCCCCTTGTCTAAGTCTCTCGCCAGTTCTCGAAAGACTTGCGTCCTTTCTCGGAACCCAAGTTCTTGACGGCACATTTCCTGCCTTCTAGGCGAAGGGCGGAGCGGAGACTTTCAAAAAGAACTACAACTCCCTGCGGGCCGGAGGAAAACGATTCAACTTCCGCTCCACCTTCGCCCCTTCGCCTCATGGGAGTTGTAGTTTCCTCGTATTTTTCTCCTCAGGAAGTAGCTGCAAGCTACAGATCCATAGCAATGGTCTCAGGTCACCCTTATACGTTTCTAATATAAATAAGTGGCAGGTATAGAGCGAGACTGCGCTGCGACCTCTCTGCGGTCCCTTTAAGGAACACTCGCATCCCCTTCCAATTCAGAACGCCTGGCGCAGGGTACCCTGGCTGCAGCAGAAGCCAGGGGTCATTGTCTTGTTGGAAGTTGAGCCTGAGGGAACCGGAGGGAGAGGATCGGGACAGGTTCCAGAGGGAATCCCTCCTCCCTCAGAGCCCTCTTTCTCCCCCTACTTATTTGTCCGAGACGCAGAGATTAGGTCCACGGCTCCCGGATTTGGTCAGATATGTTTAGAAATTGGCCAGAGAGGCGAGGCACTGAGGCATAAGTGTGACAAGCCTGTCCAGGCACAAGGGGAGGAAAGGAAGTCTCCAGGATCCCAGTGTAGGTGGGTGCTGGTGGTCTGGGGTCACTGGGAGTTTGCGGCCCAGAGTTCTGAGTTCCTATGCCTGGGTGTAGGAGAGAGTTAGGTATTGGCAGGAGAGAGAACTGGACTCCTGGGCCCCTGATAGGGACAAAAGCTGGAATCAGGCTGCTGGGTCCCTGGACAGAAATAGGTACTCAAATTCAGGCTTCCTGTGTCCAGGAGAAAATATAAAGCTTAAGATCAGGTGTTGGGAGCAGAGGGGAGCAGAGTCCCTTGGGATGTTGGGTCTGGATCCTGACTCCTCACTCTTGCTTCTCTAGAATGTCTCAGGAGAATGACACGTGGAAGAAAAAGTGAGTAGGGAAACAGGATGGACAGGGGTGGAGAAGTGGGAGCAAGGGAGAGCTCGGCGTTTGATTTGGCCCCTACGCACTCAGCGGTGGCCTTGTCATGATGTTTCCAGGTCCGGCACCATCAGCCTTGCAGGAAGGGTCAGGGGGTCTGGACTTCTGAGTCCTACCTAAAGCGAGTGAGCTTAAAATGAAGACTCCATGGGTCTGAAAGAGGAGGGTCTGAGGGTTTGGGCTCCTGAGTTCTGAAACAGGGGGGTCTGGGGATGTCTTCAACTCCTGAATTCTAGAGAGACCAGTGCTGGGAGAAAGAGCTGCAGAACTGAGGGAGCAGGCTCAGGTTCTGCCCCGTCTGTGACCTCACAAGGGCTCAGAATCTTAAATTGGGAGGGGAAGGGGGGTTCTTGGGCGATCTGGCTGCCCTGCTTCCTATTTACCATAAGCTTGCATCTCTCTCAGTGTCCTGTGGGACGAGCTCACTGCCATAAGGCTGCAGAAACTGGAACAACAGGTACTCTGCCTAGGAATCCTGACACCCCCGCTGGGCCCTTTTCCACAGTTTCCCAGGAGTCCCTTCGCCTGGACTTGCCCCGGGGTTCCTGGCCCTCACTGGCTCTCCTGAAGCCTCAAGTTCTGCCACTGGGAAATGGGAAAATAGGAATTCAGGACCCTAGAGAAGCAAACGAGGCTCCCAGACTTCTAAGAAGGAGAGCATTGGAGGGCAGGACTCCCAGTTCCTGGGGGAGGAGGGGACCGGGTGCAGGCAGGGCTCCTGAGGAAGGAAGAGACGAGGCACCGAGGGCCTGGACTCCAGGAACGCTCCCACGGATCCAGGCCTCCCCTTGCCCCGGGCCCATTTTCACCCCAGTCTTCCGCAGGGTTCCGGGCCCCCACACACCCCTTTCCCACTCCCGCAGCGGCGGCTGTTTGAGAAGAAGCAGCGACGGAAGCGCCAAGAGCCCCTCATGGTCCAGGCCAATCCTGACGCTTCCCTCTGGGCCCGCCGACCGCGCCAGAGGTCGGAACGCCCCGAGGGCTACAGCGGTGAGGAGAAGTTCCTAGGGTCGGGCAGGATCGTAGGCCTGAAGGGAGGGAGGGGTCTGTGCGAGTGAGGCGTGGGGCCCTTTAGGCTCAGAGGGGAGGAAACTGGCGGAGCCCTGGAGCACCCAAACGGAGCGCGGGGTCCGAGTCACAACCCGTGGGAGTCCCTGGGAGAGCCCGGGTGGTGGGACGGAGCCTGCGAGAGCCCGGGACAGCCCGGGACAGCCCAAAGAGTGTGGGCGGGGTCCACGGAGTGCTGGGGCGGGGCCTGGAACAGCTGGTCCAGGGTTGGTATTGGCAAAGCCCGGGGATCTATCTCGGTAATTAGAGACCAGGACCTACCGAAGGAGAACCCAGCGCGGATTGTTTACGCAAGGTGTCCGCAAAGGTTTGCCTGTAGGGCTGGCTGTCCTTGTTTGAGCCTTAGAATGAATTCTGGAGTCTGAATGAGTCTGGGGGGGGGGGGGGGGGGGGGAAGGGAGCGGTCACAGGGACTATGTCTGGGAGCCCAGTGAGGAGGTGGATCTTCTCTGCAGGGGACCGGAAGGTGTAGGTCCGTCGTGTTTATGGGCTTCTCTGCACTTTCTTCCAGGCCTCAGGAACCCTTTCCTCTGGGAGAACGTGCCAGAGGTACATCTGCATTCCGGCGCCCACAGAATTCTGGGAACCGTGAAATGTGGTGGAGATGGCAGTGACGACCGCGTCCCCTTGACATCGCCGACTGAAGCAGGTAATCTCAAGCCCTTGGACCGCCTGCACCCCAGAACTCCACTCCCACTGGAACCCAGGAGCCTGGAACCTCAGTTCTTGCTGTCCAAAGAACTCGGGACCAGTCCAGACCCTGGGGGCCCTGAAATACGTCATACCGAGTCCAGGTCTTGAACTTTCTCCTTCTCTAACACCCAGTAATCTGAGTTTCCAGCCCTCCTCCACCCCACCTCCCTCCTGTACTCAGAAATCTCAGTCTCTAGTCCCCTTCTCTCTCCTGGCTACCAGATGGTTCCGATCCGGAGTTGGAGGAAGTCTCCGTGGAGGACGTTGCGGCCTCTCTCCCTCCTTTTAAAGAGCATCCAGGGACGAGACGCAGGGGTTGGCCACCCCGCCAACGACTTGGTAATTTCGGGGACATCATCAGGTTCTCTGGTCCAAGTGGCAAATCCTCTCCCTTTCTGTAACAGCTTTGTCTAAGATATATTTCACATACCATACAATTCACTCATTTAGAGTTTACAATTCCATGATTTTTAGTATATTTAGAGATGCGCACTTATCACCACAATGAATATGAGTACATTTTCATGACCCACGGAAGAAACCTTGTACCTTTTACCAGTCTCTGCCCCTCGCCCCCGGTTTCTTCCAGCCCTAGACAATCACTAATCTTTCTTTTTAGATTTGCCTATTCTGGACGTCTTGTATAAATAGAATAACATTGTATATGATTTCTTTTTGGAGATTTTATTTATTTATTTTTAAAGAGAGGGGAAGGGAGGGAGAAAGAGGGAGAGAAACATCATTGTGCAAGAGATATGTTGATCAGTGGCCTCTCACACACTCCCAAATTGCGACCCAGCTCGCAGCCCAAGCACATGCCCTGACTGGGAATCGAACCGGTAATCCTTCTGTGCGCAGGCCACAGCTCAGTCCACTGAGCCACACCAGCCAGGGCTGTATATGATCTTTCGTGACCGGCCTCCTTGGCTTACCACGTTTTTAAAGTTCATCTATGTTGCAGTATTATCAGTATTTAATTCTTATTTATTCCTTAATATTTCATTGTAATAACATTTTGTTCTTATGACATGACCAACTATATTACTGTTTCAAAACAGGAATCTTAATTATCACCCCAGAACTCCACTCCCTCTCCACCTCCACTTTATTTTATTTGTATTGATTTTGGAGAGGAAGAGAGAGAAACATCAATTTGTTCCACTTACTTATGCATCCATTGGTTGATTCTTTTTTTGTTAGTTTGAGGTTGCTCTTTCTTTATAGTTTTTTTTTAATTGTACATTTCCCCATTATCATTTACCCCCCTTTACCCTCTTCCACCTACCCCCACCTACCCGCACCTACCCCAACCCTGCAATCACCACACTGTTGTCTGTGTCCATGAGTCCTTTTTCTTTTTTGCTCGATCCCTCCACTCCCCATTGGTTGATTCTTGTGTGTGCCCTCCCTGAGGCTTGAACCTGCAACCTTGGCATATTGGAATGATGCTCTAGCCAACTGAGCTACCTGGCCAGGACCCTCCACCTCCACTTTAGATCCCCATTCTCTTCTATACTCTCTCTGCGACAAGGAAAAAGGAGAACTCTAATCCCTCTCTGTCCTTAGACGCAGAGCATTCAGAGACTTCTTGACGCGTGTAGACCCACTGCACATGGTGGAAGTGGGGGATCTGGCAAGTGAGGGTGATGAGTCATAAGCAGGAGCCAGAAACCAGTAGTTCTTGTCTTCTGCAGCTACCACTGGTGACCGTGTCCCAAGCTTCTGGGACCCAGTTGTCCTGAGCTCAGTTTTCTTCTGGCTTCATTCATCCCTTAGAATCTAGTGCAGTGGACGAGAGCGAATCCCAGGATGTTGTACATGAATACGAATCACCTAATCCAGAACCAAACCTTGAAAGGGATGGTGATTCAGGAAGTGGAGACTTGGCCTCTAACAAGGTGGGAAGTGGCACAGCTAACCAGGATGGAGGAGGAGGAGTAGGACGGACCTCGGGCTCTAGGAAGGGTGGGGCTAAAATGCTGCAGCCCAATCAGAGGCCCCTTTCACTGGTTGGAGGAAGCTGTTGGGATTGGGCTAGCAGAGGCTTTGTGTGTGCCCCATTTACAATATAGAGGATTTGAATTAATGTGAGCACATACAAATTCAGCCCACCGAAAGGCAGCGAGCTTTGGAGAGGGTGAAACAGTGATGGGGAAGGGCCAGTTGGCACTCACTTTGGTATTGATGAAAGAGAGATAAATACTTTTAGTTGGGTAGATCCGGACCGTATTTTGTTATTTAAATCTAATCAATGCTAGCTTTAGTTGAACGGGCCATGCAAAGGAATTCTCCAATCGGTAGATGGACTAGGCGTGGCTGCAGACGGAAGCTAATGGTGCCGGCCAATCAACAATGATCGCGACTTGGCTGGGTGGGGCCCTTGAAGGGACTGACCAATCAGCAGGTGGCTGAGGTGTTTGACCAATAAGCAGAGTTCCACGTCTAGAGTGGGCGTAACCCTGGGCTGGGATGGCCTGTCACTATTTTGCGGGGCGGGGGGTGAGGGTGGTCTGGGTGTGGGCTGTCCCTGAACTTGAATTTGCCGCGTGGGTCAGGAAGAAGACTTGGAAGAAAAGAAGGAGGAGCCGGAGTCTACACTGAGGAACTCGCCAGAGGTGGCCGACGAGGCAGTGTCCGAGGCCCTGGAAGGCGGGGGCAGCGCGGGGTTCAGCAATGTGGAGAGCCCGCCTCTCTCCTCTCTCCTCGCCCCAGGCCCTCAGCTGGGCGAGGACATGGAAGCATATGTGCTGCGGCCAGCGGTGCGCGGCTGCACGGTGCAGTGTTGCATCAGCCGCGACAAGCGCGGTGTAGACAAGGGCATGTTCCCTTTCTACTATCTCTACCTGGAAGCGGTCGGTGGCCAAGGCCGGAAGGTGCGGTCTGGCAGCCTCGGGAGCAAGCCCCACTTCCCAGTGGCAAGTCCTGTCCCTTTCTGAGTGAGGTCAAGACTTTAGCGAATCCAGGCCCTGCTCATCAGTGACCTGCCAACTCCAATGACAAAAGCTTAGCTTAACAGGACTAAGCTTAGAGCCCAGTGGCAAAGGCCCTACCCATCCCATAGCGAAGACCTGCCCAATATTAAGATAGACCTGACTTTCTCAAAGTCAGGCCACGCCCTCTCAGGGTCCAAACCCCCACCCCTTACATAACCCCTAGACCTCATCTTTGTAGATCCAAATCTGGCCACTTCACTCAGACCTTCTTTGCTATAAAGCCCCACCCCAATCCTGGGATAAGCCCTGCCCCCTCAGGACCCAAGACCCTCCCCGGTGGATTTCCTATCCAGAGCGAAGCCATTCCCCTCTCGGTGTGGCTTCCCCTCCTCAAGGCTCTCTCTGTCCCAGAAGGGGGTCCACTTTTCCCAGGTGAAACACCTACTGAAGTCCCGTTGCAATGTTCAAAAGGAGGCTCTTCCGTCTTCTCCAAAGGGAGGCCCTGCCTGTTGGTCAGGCTCTCTCCTGCCTGGCCTCTGCCTGAACTCTGGAACCCTTGGGGATATATTGAAATGTGAATCTCCCCTTCAGGACCCAGCTGATGACTTCCTTCAGTGAGAAACGCATCTCCCAGCAGGCCGTGGGACGCTTATTGCCTCCTTACCTTTTCCTCTGTCTTAGGCACAGAGTGTTTCCTTGTCTTTTAGCCTCCTAACCCTAGCCAGATACCAGAAATCCAATCTGATGGGCTTTTCTCACATCCACAGCAGTTCCTTCTTGCTGGGCGCAAGAGAAAAAGGAGCACAACCTCTAATTACCTCATCTCCCTGGACCCCACAGACCTGTCTCGGGATGGGGACAACTTTGTGGGCAAAGTCAGGTAGGCAGAGCCCTGACATACAGGAGAAACTGATGGGAGATGAGAGGGCACCTGGGGGAAGAAAGGTACGACTGAACTACATTTCCCAGAAGGCCATAGAGCACAAGTTCTACTGGCTCTAGGACCTTTTCTCTTAGGGACTGATGGGCTCTGTAATTCTTCAGGTTGTAGCCCTAGGGTAGTTGGGAACAGAACTGAAGGTTTTGGAGCAGAGGCTGGCATTTAAGACATTTGACTTCTTGAGCGGCAAAGGGTGCCCTGGCCAAGTGGCTCAGTTGGTTGGAGTGTCTTCTCATACACCAAAGGGTTGGGAGTTCCATCACCCGTCAGGGCACATACCTAGGTTGTGGGTTTGATCCCCAGTTGTGGTGCCTAGGGGAGGCAACCGATCAATGTTTCTCACGTTGGTGTTTCTCTGAAATCAATTAAAAAATAAAATGTTTTTAAAAGGTGCCCTGGCTGTGTGGCTCAGTGGGTTGAGTGCCAGCCAGCAAACCAAAGGGTCACCGTTTTGATTCCCAGTCAGGGCATATGCCTGGGTTGTGGGCCAGATCCCCAGCGGGGCCGCGTAAGAGGCAACCACACATTGATGTTTCTGTCCCTTTCTCCTTCCCTTCCCCTCTATCTAAAAATAAATAATAATATAATAATAATAATAATAAAGGCAAGGGGCTGGAACTCCTAAGTTCCTGAGTAGGAGAAGACAGCTGGGATGTGTGAATTCCTGCGCCCTAGAGGGAAGAGGGCCAAGGCAGGAAACTAAAAATCATGGCTCACAGGGATGGGACTGTGGTTACATAGGACACGGAAATGAGTCTTATGTAGAGGATTGATGGGAAGAGTTGATAAGGTGACATGGGAAAGCAGTTTACAGCATAAGAGTAATTATTTTATTCTGGCCCTGGTCTCCCTGGAGCAGATCTAATGTCTTGGGCACCAAGTTCACCATCTTCGACAATGGGGTGAATCCCGAAAAGAAGTATTTCATCCCAGAGACCGCTCGGATCAGGGAGGAGCTGGGCGCTGTATGTTATGTGAGTGTCTGGGAGCCTAGAGAGTGAAGGGAGCAGGATGGTGGGGAGAGGGAAAGAGCCAGGCCAACTGGAGCATAAAACCCGCAGGAGACCAACGTCTTGGGATTTCGAGGGCCCCGGAAAATGACTGTGATCATTCCAGCAGTTGATGCCCAGAACGGGAGAATCAGCGTCCAGCCGCAAAATGTGAGTTGGCTAAGAATGAAAATCTGTGTCAATAGAGGAGGAAGGGCTAGGGGAGCGCCTAAAGGGGGAGAGATTAGGAACTCAAAATTCTATGTCCGGAGAAAAAAGAGGACTTGGCGGTTGGTTAACCACGCCCCCTACTTTATCCTCTAGGAAGGCGAGTCGCTACTGAGTCGCTACCAACGCGGGGCCAACCAGGGGCTGGTCTTGCTACAAAACAAAGCCCCATCCTGGAGCGAAGAGACCGGCAACTACGTGCTCAATTTTCATGGCCGAGTCACTCAGGCCTCGGTCAAGAACTTCCAGATCGTGCATCCGGATGACCGTGAGCTTCTAGGAACCGCTTTACGTGGGCCAGGCGGTTAGGGTGGCGGACGCGGGCGCCTGCGGGCTTGAACGCACGAGAACTCCGCACTTGAGCGCTTTTCTCAGCACGGCCTACTCCACGCTGTTGCAAAGCCTGTCGGGAACTGTAGTTTATACGGCCCTCAGGGGGTTTTCGGGCTCAGTAAGGGCGCCGCACAGGCTCTTGGGAGTCTTAGTTGTCGCAGGTCCTACGCGGTAGGGAAAAACAAAAGTGTCTGACTAAGCTTAGTTCCTGACTTCTTCCTCAGCTGACTACTTGGTGCTTCAGTTCGGCCGCGTGGCCCCAGACATGTTCACCATGGACTTCTGCTTCCCGCTCTGCCCACTCCAAGCCTTCGCCATCTGCTTGTCCAGTTTCGATGGGAAACTGGCATGTGAATAATCCATGGAAATACAATACTTTTTAACAACTCCTGCTCATCTGGAGAAAGGGCTCCAGCATGCGTTCTTTTGCACCACCTTACTAGTAACCAACGCTTATTAGACGCCTCCTGGGTGCCCAGTCCCGGGTTCTAGGGAGTGGGCTGTTGAGGAGCACCTGCTCTGGTGGGACTCAGTGGATTATGAGAGATGGGTCTTAACATCAAAATGCTCCTCGCTGTGGAGAAAACCACATGGAGGTACAAGTCAGCTGGGTCAGACCAAGGCACTTCTAAAAAAAGTGGTTTTCATATACCACACCTGAAGAATCACAAGGAACTAGCTGAGCCAGGGGTCAGGGAATGGGAACATCCGACAGTAGGCAGCGCTCATGCTAAGGTGTTAAGGTGCAAGGGGCTTGGTTGGTTTAGGAAAATGAAAGCAGTGTGGTAGGAACCTGGGGAACATTCTATGGAGGTGTCCATTCTATGGACAGGGTCCTCTTGTTTGAACTGCTGGACAGACCGTATGGGGTCAGAGGAAGGTTCTAACCTAAGCAGGAGGTGTAAGGTGTATGCAACTGTTGGCCACACTTTACAGATAAGGAAACAGTGAACACAAGGCTTGTAAATGTGCAATCAGGCAGCTGAAAACCTTGAGGAACTCACCATGGAAAGGCCAGTAGGAGGATGAGTCTTTGTATTTCAGAGATGCAGAAAACTGGAGTTTAGCTGCTATCTAGAGATCACAAATCCAGCTCCCAGCCCCCTTGGGGAGATAACTGTCCCAAATTTAATATTTAGGTGGAAGCCAAAAAGAAACTACAAAACCCACCAGCCCTTTGTTCAGAAGCGCCACAACTAGAAGGGACAAATTTGAGGGACGATTGGTAATGTAGCTCATCTCTACTAAGGCACTTGACTCTTTGCTATTCTCCCTGCAACTGCCTCTAGGACCCAGCAGTGGATACTGTCAGTTCAGATACACATGGTGACACTGTCCAGTACAAATCAAAAGGCTTTATTTCTTAAACCTACCAGTAAAAATAAATAAATAACAGATAACACAAACACCACATGATCCTAGCCACGCCTCCAGCTGAGGTCTAGGCAAGGAGGCACAAAAGTAGAGATGGGAGAACCTAGAGTATGGCTCAAGGGCATGGTTTGCACGGGGGATGTGGGCAAGGTCTGGGTGGGGGCAGGTGTGGCTGCCAGAGGAGTGGGGGGGTTCCTGAGACGTACCCAGGCCCTGGCCCGGGCCACAGGGGTGAAGCAGGGGCCCAGCACTTCCTGGGCCTGGGCAATTCGGCGGGCAAAGCGGCTGCGATCCCGGGCATGCTGTTCCCAGGGGCCCCGACGGGCAGCCTGGGCCGCTCCAGCCCAGACAACCAGGAAATGGATGGAGACCTTCTCAGAGAAGCGCACCTGGAGATAGATCGGCACAGACATGGCGTGGGGGGGGGGAGGGGGCACACACAGAGATACAGACACAAGACACACGCGGGCACAGGTGGGGGGAGGGGAGAGAGAGAGAGAGAGAACCAAAGATTAGACAAAAATGCTTGCTATGTGATTAGTCATCTGCTTGTCACAGATTCTCCATCTGACTCATTGAAGGGAAATAATTCACTGGGGCTGGATCCCACCTCCCACGGGGTTCAGCCTCTTGCAAAGGATTGCATTACAATGAGCACAGCCCTCCCAGTGGAGTTCCCCTGCAACCCTCTGTAACACACAGCACGTCTGGGAGTCCCAGTTCCCTCCCCGCTAACACTGGGCCCTCAGCACCCACCTTTGTGGCTTTTTGGGGAGTTTCAGGGTCCAGATGCCGGGCGGGGGTTTCTGCATACTTGAGCCGCCTTTGCAGTCGGAGGGGCAGTGGAGGAAGAGCCCAGGAAGGCGGTGGCTTCTCTCCAGGTAGATAGATGGCCACTCGGAAGGGGCGGGGCTCAGCCGCTCTTCCCTCTGTCTCCTTTCCTGGTGGAGACCTCCAGCCCTTGAAGGCGGCGCTCTGGGCCTGAATGGAAGAACCTGGCTCTGAGCCAGCTGCTTCGGAACCAACATTCTCATTCTCCTCATCTTCCTCCTCTGTGCCCTCTCCCGGTCGAAACACCCAGGCCCTCAAGAAGGCACTTGGAGGGGATATGGAAGAGGGACCCTCAGTGTCTCCCTCCTCCTCAGCTGCTCCTGAATCACTGTCCTCCTCCTCCTCCTCTTCTTCTGTGTCCTCTCCTGGTCTGTACACCCAGGCCCTCAAGAAGGTACTTGTTGGAGGGATGGAAGAGGGACCCTCAGCTTCTTCTGAATCACTGTCCTCCTCCTCCTCCTCCTCCTCCTCCGTGTCCTCTCCTGGTCTGTACACCCAGGCCCTCAAGAAGGTACTTGTGGTGGGGATGGAGGAGGGGCCCTCAGCTGCTCTTGAATCACTATCTTCTTCTTCTTCCTCCTCATCCTCTGTGTCCTCTCCTGGTGGACACACCCAGGCCTTCATGATGGTACTTTTGGTGGAGACGGAGGTGGGACCCTCAGCGTCTCCCTCCTCCTCAGCTGCTCCTGAATCACTGTCCCCATCTTCCTCCTCTTCTTCTGCGTCCTCTCCTGGTCTGTACACCCAGGCCCTCAAGAAGGTACTTGTTGGAGGGATGGAAGAGGGGCCCTCAGCTTCTTCTGAATCACTGCCCTCCTCCACCTCCTCCTCCTCCTCCGTGTCCTCTCCTGGTCTGTACACCCAGGCCCTCAAGAAGGTACTTGTGGTGGGGATGGAGGAGGGGCCCTCAGCTGCTCTTGAATCACTATCCTCTTCTTCTTCCTCCTCATCCTCTGTGTCCTCTCCTGGCGGACACACCCAGGCCTTCATGACGGTACTTTTGGTGGGGACGGAGGTGGGACCCTCAGCGTCTCCCTCCTCCTCAGCTGCTCCTGAATCACTGTCCCCATCTTCCTCCTCTGTGTCCTCTCCTGGCGGACACACCCAGGCCTTCGTGAAGGCGCTTGTGGGGGGGATGGTCGACAGGCCCTCAGCTTCCCCTGAGGCATTGTTCTCATCCTCCTCTTCCTCTGTGATCTTATTAGGTGGATGCTGCCAGGTCCTGAGCAGGGGCCTCTGGGCTAGAATTGAGGAGTGTGGCTCAGGGTCACCTCCTCCTTCCTCAGCCTTTCCGTTCTCCTCCTCGTTGTTCTCCTCCTCCTCCTCCCCCGCTGAATAACACTGCCCGGCACTGGGGTGGGAGCCTGCACACGAAGGGGAAATGGAGGTCTTCCTGGCTTCTTTATTTTCTGTTCTTTCTTCCTCCTTGGCTGGAGCCTCTTCCTGCCCTGAGCAATATACCCAGGCTCTGGGCTTGGATCCTGGAGATAAGGGGGAAGGAGATGTTCTGGGAGCTTCTTTATTTACAGCTTCTCCATCTTCCTTCTCCTCCATCTCTGGACAACACTCCCAGTGGGATGGAGGGAAAAAGGATGTGATCGCTTTATCGTCAGCAACTCCTTCCTCAGATTCCCCCTCCCCAGGAGGGTCTTGCAGTACTGTCAGAAGGCTGGGGGCGGGGGAAGCAAGCTGGCCACCTATATATTCACTCCCCTGCTCTTTAGGGACACTGGTTGCTTCTTCCCCACCACACTCTTCTTCATTATTATTATCTGAACGTTCCTGGGCTTGGAGAAGAGAACTGTTGGCTCTTAGGGCAGGGCAGGCCACTCGAGGTGATTCTCTACCCTCCACGGCTGTTCCACTGTCTCCAGCCTCCCCTGGAAGGTGTCCGCCTCGGGGGGCATAGTGGGTGGCCATAGCAGCCTCAACTTCTACCAGCAGGCCAGCTTCTCCCTGATCCGCCCTCTTTACTGCTTCCACCAGCCAGGGCTTTGGAGGTCCTGGGCTGCTCAGCCGGCTCCAGGCCCGGCTGAGAAGGGCCATGAGCGGGGACAGGAGGAAGAAGGGGTGGGCATCCCTCCAGGGGAGCTGGCGCGGCACTTGGTGCGGAGCCATCTGTCTGGGCTGGGGAAAAGGGCACAACATTTAGAAGCCACTTGGGAAATACCATCAAGAGCTGATCCTGAGTCATGCAACCGCAATACTAACACAAATAGCAACAAGAGAGTCCCTGCCCACATTCCTTTCTTAGTCCAGCCACTCACATCTCTCGCCCTCGGTTCCCACCTCTGTCTTCTTTCAATACCCAAGAGTCTGGGTCCCCATTCTCTCCTTCCTTAGATCCAAGGGTCCAAGCCCCCGGCCCCTCTTCTCTCAGACCCAGGAAGTCTCAGTTCCAAGTGGCGAGAGCACTTGTTCCCCTTCGGGATCAAGAACTAGCTAGTCCCTGGTTCTCTCATCTTCCTGCGGATTGCGGGTGCTTCCTGCGGATCCCCCAATCAAGCCCCCATCCTCCTCCTCCCTCCAGACTCAAAAATTCCGACCGTCCCCAACCCCCACGGTACCTCACCGGAGACCGGAGTCTGGCTCCTCGACCCCTCCTCCATTAGGCCCAGCGCGCCAGCTCCCAACCCCTCTTTTTAAGTCAGAGCCCTGGAGTCTGTCCCCATCCCGTCCCACCCCTCCCCACACACAGGAACAATTTCAGACTCCCAGGCCCTCTTCCTCAGGACCCGGGAGTCCTGGCCCCAAACCTTCCGTCTCACTACCCGGAAGTCCAAGCTCCCGCCTTATTAACGACCAAGAGGCTGATTCCTAGCCCCCAACCCCCGGAGACCCGTGCGTTCCTATCCCTCGCTCACCGAATGGAGGCTGCGCGTCACCCCGGAGGCAGGAGGGCCGGCTCGGGCTGCCACAAGCGATCACAGGTTCGGGCGGCTCGGGAGACCAGAGCTTTCATTTCGCTCTCCGGCGTTGGGCTCGGGTGCTCAAGTTATCACCAGTCGCTGCAGGCGCGGTGGCAACAAGCGGGAGCGGGGTGGCGCAGGATGGCGCATGTAGAAAACAACTTGGCTGGGTGCTGAGCAGGTTAGCGCTGACGCCGCCCGCAAGGCTTTTATAGTCTAGCGCCCACCGGATGTGCTTACGTCTTGAGGGGAGGCGGAGTTTCGAAACGTAGACTGAAAAACAGGAAGGGAAAAAGAAGGTGGTGATTCTCGCGGCGATTCCAGGGTTAGCAACGTCACGGCTGGGTTTGAACGTGGCCACGCCCCGAAACGAGCGACCTGTCAATCAAACGCGTAACCTGCTGAAGCAGCGAGGGAGCTCTCTTGACACGTTTCTGGAAAATACCTTCCCACCCCAATTTAACTAGCAGGCCCCAGTCCAGAGTCTCCCACCTTCAGATCCGGTGGGCTTCCTCCGCGGTGTGGGAGGGTATTATTGTTTTTATTTCACGAACGAGGAAACTGAGGCTTGGGAATGGAATCACCTGCCCAGGATGATCACAGTAGGGTGCGAAGGTTCATTGCAAAATGAAAACTAGAACGTAAGCACTCTGACTGCAGGCCCTTTGCTCACTGCTTTCCTCTCAGTGCCTGGCACATAGTAGGCACTTACCCAGTGTTTGGTGAGTAGATATGAAACGAAGAGCTCAGACCTGTTCTGGTTTCATGCACAAGGCTCCCTGGCTGGATTTCACCCGCTTCAGCTTCCCCAAAAACTCCGATTACACAAACTGAAATTCTGGTTAGGTGGTATCGACTGATCGTCATGGGAGCAGGGGTCTTCTGCCAAAAGTTCCAGGTCCAGCGAGAGAGTCTCAGTTCCCCAGCCCAATCCCCCTACCTGGTCCATGATTTTGCTCCTCAGAATCTGCCCAGAAACCATGTCGCCCTCCTGAGCCTCAGTCTAGAGCGGAATTCTCACCTGGATCTGAAGTGGAAATCTGACCCTGTCAGCTTGTTCCCGCTCTAGATACGGTCCAGGAATCCAAGGCCACTCCCTCCTCCCCGGAGGACCTAAGCCCATCCTCACAGAGGCTCGCTTCCAGACCCCCGGCTCCGGCTCCGTGCATGACTCAGGAGTCCCGAGTCCTAGCTCGCCCCTTCCCAGATACCCAGGGGTCTGAAACCTCACCTCTTCCAAGATCCAAGCTGTCTCCACTCAGGGCACCAGTGATTCAGGGCTCCTGTCCCGACCTGCCCGCGGGGACCAAGGAGTCCAGGTCCAGCTCCTACTCTCCAAACATTCAGGAGTGTTAGCCTCAGCCCATATGGGACCCCGGTTCTCCGGGCTCCAGCCCAGCAGGGACCCAGGAGTCAGGGGGGCCCAGCTCCTCCCCTCAGCTGTAGGGGCCGCTGAGCCAGGGGTCAGGCTGTGGTGGGGAGGCCCAGAGGGGCGGGGTCAGCCGGGATTGGGAGGGGAGACAGCGGCGTGGGCGGCTGGCAGACGGAGGGAAAGACCAGCAGAGAGAGAGAAACTGGGAGAGGGGCGAAGAGAAAGTGAGAAGAAGAATCAGGGAGCGGAAGGCCGCAGAGAGAAAGAGAAAGGGGAAGAGACTGAGTGTGAGGGAGAGAGGGAGAGAATGAGATGGAGACTTAAGGAAGAGAGTCTGTGAGTCCGAGGGAGGAAGATTTGGACAGAAACAGAAAGACTGAGAGAGAAAGTGACAGGGGTGTGTCTCTGTGTGTGTGTGTGTGTTTGAGAGAGAGAGAGAGAGGAAGGAAATGAGTGAGGGAGAGACTGGAAGGGACAGAGATTAGTGAGGGAGAGAGAAGGTGAGACTGGACAGAGAGACAGCCTGAAAGGAAGGGAGAGCGTGAGAGCAAGAGAGACCCTCAGACACAGAGACGAGAAGAGTGTGAGTGAGCAGGTAAGTGAGACTGAGGACTAGGAGGGGCAGCACCTGACACACAGAGGAGGGAGGCTGTGGCTGGGTGCCCCAGCACCCATGCATACCGCTGCCCTCTTGCCCCCTGTCCTTGGGACCCCAGAACTGGTAAGTCCCCTGGCTGGGCCGGGAGGGGCGGCCTGGATGTGCATTCCTGGCGCCCCAGGGCTTGGCAGGGATGGTTTGGGGTGTGTGTGGGAGGGCAGGAGACAAGTAGCTGGGGGCAGCCGGAAAGAGGCAGGGAATGGAGGGGTCCCTAAGCACAGAGAGGGTCAAATTCCTGGCCAGAGTGCAGGGGGCAAGAATAAAGGAGCCCCTATTCTCTGTCTTGGGCCGCAGACAGCTGCCCCCTCCCCGCAGCTGCCAGTGCCGCCCACCTCTCTTGGCACCGCTCTTGGTATGCGTCCCCGGGCCAGGGCCTCCCCCGGCCCCCCAGTCCCCACACAACAGGCTCTTTCTCCTCAGCCTCCTCTGACCTGCGAGCCCCTGACCTCGTCTCTGTCCCCAGCCGGGTCAGCTACAGAGACATGCACACAGTCGCTTTCTTTCTCTCCCCAAGCCCCTGATGGAGGAGGGCAGGCCTCGGAGCAGCCTCAGCCTGGCCAGCAGCGCCTCTACCATCTCCTCCCTCGGCAGCTTAAGCACGAAGGTTGGAGCTTCTTGCTGGGGCCGGGGAGGAGGGGAGGGCTCTGGGCTGCCCCATCTTCCCGTTTCCCAACCCTGGGTTCAGCGCTACCCCAGGGACTCGTTGTTGCTCAGTGGGTTCGGTGTTGTCCCGGGAATTGAACCAGCGACCTTCACAAAGGTCGCTGGTTCGATTCCTGGTGAGGGCACATGCTTGGGTTGCAGGTTTGGTTCCCAGTTGGGGTGTGTTCGAGAGGCAACTGATCACTGTTTTTCTCTCATATGGATGCTTCTCTTCCTTTCTCCCTCCCTTCCCCTCTCTCTAAAAATAAATAAATGAAATCTCTAAAAAAAAAAAAAAAAAAATGAAGAGCAAGGATCCTTAGCAATGGTGTCTGCCAGACCTAGCTGTGTACTGAATTGCCCACTAGCTGCAGCTAGGAATTCCGAGACACTTCCAGCTGTCCCCACCCCTTTTTTTTTTCTTTCCCTGATTCAAAGCCAGAGTAACAACCCCGTTGACTCTGGTTGCTAAGATAAGGCCACTCCCCAGCCAGGAGTGCTGCCCCGCCCCCCAGAACTTGGAAGCAGAGGCTACTCTTGATTAGGGCAAAGAACTCCCTGTCCGGTCTGTAGCCCTCCCGTCTACCCGGTCCTGAAATCTGTCAAAGACCTTTCTCCGATGATAAGGCTCCTTGAGGCTCAAGATACTTGCATCCCAAATGGCCCCCCACCCCCGCCTAGAGTTCAGTGACACTTGCTTCCTCGTCCTCCTGCCATTCCCCTTACTCATTTCCAGTTTCCCAAGTTCAGAATCCATAGATTCAAATGTGACCTTGGCCGCCGCCCTCCCTCAGGGCATCCTGCGGGAATGCGGCTCTGGATGCCTGAGACGCCTGTGTGCCCGGGTGGGGGGCTCTGTCTATTGGGATGGAGTGACTCAGAGCCCCCCCTCTACCTAGGACATGGTTGCCAAGGGATGACTCTCCCCGGCCGCAAAGTGCCCTTTGATTCTGGCTGACCCATCACCGGGGACTCAGCATGGAAGCCCCTCCTGATTGTGGGGACCTCCCAGGCAGCATATCCAGTTCAGCTCCCAAAGGCTGCACCACATCCGTGGCCAAGGGCACCCTTCCCTTGGCAGTGGACCCTGATTCCCAAATTCCTTCCCCATCAGCCTGTCCTTGCCTCCTGCTTGCTCCTGAACGCCTCTCTCCGCACGTGAAGTGTCTCTCAGCTCTCCGCTACGCACACCCCACTCTGACCTCAAAACTCAGTTCCCTCCTTCACCCAGTCTCCGTGGGCGGCCAGGCAAGGGCACTGCCTCCCCAGGCCCATCCGGAGGTCCTGTTCACATCTGTCCTTCTCTCCTCAGAAGCCCGCCCGGGCAGTGAGCAAGGTGCATGCCTTCGGGAAGAGAGGCAATGCGCTCCGAAGGGATCCCAACCTCCCGGTGCACATCAGAGGCTGGCTGCAGAAGCAGGTGGTGTGAGCGGGAGGCGGGAAGGACGCTCTGAGGGATGCTAGAGGCTGTGCCCCTGGCTGCCCGCTCTTTCTCTCCTTCCCGGTCACCAATGTGTTTGTTTCTTTGCTACCACTGCTTCTCTCCTTATTCTGTCATTGTTTCATTCATCCATTCCGTGACCACCTCTTGGACATTGCAATGTGCCGAGCCCTGGGTCATATACCATGCAAACAGGACAAGTACCTCTATAGTCCATTCAAAATGAGGGTGGGACGGGCATGGATAACAAATTAGTGTATAAATAAATGGAATAGTACATGTTGTATATAATATGTAAACGAAGTAGGTGAAATCAATGATTTCAGACTGTAGGAATTCCTGTTAAATTAAATGCTGTGAAGCAATAGCACGGGGGAGGTTTTCAAAAGTGGCTGAGGGATGAAGGCCACCTTTGTCTCTTGGTCAGGGAAGGTGTCTCTGAGGAGGTGACATGTGAGCTTGAGAACTGAATGACAAGAAGGAGCCCATAATGCTAAAATCGGGAGTAGGGGCAGCGGGAATCTGGAAGTAAAAGACCCAGCAACGGGCCAGCGGCTTGGTGTTTGGAGCAAGCCGAGGGGGCAGATCGGGCAAGGATTCTCAAAGCGTGGTCCCGGACTAGCAGCGTCGGCATCACCTGGGAACTTGCTGGACAGGTGTTTGTCAAGTCCCACCCCAGATCTACTGACGCAGGAACTCTGGGGGACTGGATCCAGGAATCCAGTTTTAACATGCCCTCCTGGTGAGGCTTATTATACATGCCCGGATTTGAGACTCCCTGTAAGCTAGTAAACCAGGGGAAGGAATTTGCGACTTATTCCAAGTGTGACGGTCAGCTTGAGCAGGGGACTCATGTGATCTGATTTATCATTTTAAGTGACCCTACTGCTTCTTGGGAAGGGGCTGAAGAGAAGACGGGCACAAGGTTGGCGATGGAGTAGTGCTGGCAAGAGGATGGGGAGATGCAGGATGTGGGTTATGACTCGGTGCCACCTTCCTGGCCTCTCTGTGTCTCAGGCTCCACAATCATCAGATACGTACAGCCCCTGCCCGCACGTGACACGT